TTTGATATATTTATATGAATTTGTGTCTAAGTTTTACATAAAGTTATACAAAGTTGTGGATTTTGTTGGAGCATATTCCCAATTATGTATAAGCTCGAGAGAACCTTGGGGAATGTTTAGTAAATAAATGCCATCATCTTTAGCATACCAAATGCAAGACTGAAAATTGCATCTATAAGATAGCCACTCGTGTTTCTCTCTCCAAAACACTTCGAACGATGCATGTAAATTCTTTGGAGTTCTAAAGGTACACCAATAAAGCGTAGTCGAAAACATATTCTCTTTAAATTGCCATTGGAAGTTCTGGCCGACTTTCAAAACATGGTTGCCCAAATCATCGTCTTTTGATTTGCAATGGAGGAACAAAGCTTGATCCGAGCTCAATTTGTTTACAATTCCCACTCTCCATGAACTCAACGGCCGTTGGTATTTTGAATCCTCCAAAGCTGAACATGGTTTTCCTGTCGTCACCAATATCAAAACAAGAAATGAAATTACACATCAGTTTACTAAAGAATCCATTGTTTATTTCTCTCCGTGGGTTCTTTCAATTTCTCCTTTTCTTATAGATAGCAAGGTTGAGAATTTGTTTGTTTAATTTTAGTAATGTTTAGTTTTTTTGTTAAACAATTTTAAGGTTTTATTATTTAAGTTATTTAAATTATTATAATGGGACGGTAATCTCTATAATTAGAGGTTGTTTAAGCTTTTTGAATTAGTTTTTAACTTTATCTAATAAATGGTTAATTTTCGTTTATTTGTGGTTAATTAACTACCAAAATTTTAGGATTAGGCCAATAATATATATATTGTGGGTATTGGTCAGTGGTATTGGTCTGACATGTCGTTAAATAAAAAAACTAACATATAGAATGAAAACTTCAACCAAAATTCATTTCTCTACGTATCACTTTGGCATGAAAAAGAAAATACCATTTCCATTGATTTTTTTAAAGCATAAATGTTATGTTTTCTAAAAAGAATAAAGGAAAAAGACGAGACCCATTACAATGATATATTTTTGGCATCTAATATATGAGTTTGTCAGTTGTTCAAGTATCCAATATATTTTATAAAGAGTAGCCAATATTTTTTTAGTATAACATGTTGGGGTGGGAAATCGAACTCACAACCTCTTGGTTGGAGAGATATGCCAATTACCGCTAAGCTATGCTCGCTTTGATAGCCAATGTTTATCATAAACCATTGTAAGACCCCTTCTATTTTCAATGCGGTATCCTTAACAGGAGATTTGTGTGTTTTGGTGATGGAATTCATTAACATATTGTCACGTACAGCTGATATGTATGCATATGCCTTAAAACCTATCATTTTTGAGTTTGACTCACCCATTTATAATCATACATGCAGTTTGAACACATTGCTTCGTCTTGATAGATTCTTATTCATGATAGCAAATCTGAATTGTATGCATATGGGAGCTAAAAATTTCGTGGATTTGTAGAAGCCACCGTAGTTTTTCACTTGTCCTATTACGTGGAAATGGAGTGTTGCATACCATCCCAACATAACTTAACATAAGGTAAAAGAATGCAGCACTAATCAAGCCGATCAACTGAACCGTTCGATCTCGATTCTACTACTAAACGTAGAGTCGATCAATCAACTCGGAGTGAGAGTTTGAACTCATGACCTCTTGGTCAAAGATAAGTACCTTAACCATTTGAGCTATGCTCGATTTGGATATATAAATGCAAATTATGTTAGATTAATGTATAAATTATATGAATATTCGTAAGGGCGTTTTTGGAACATTGTATAAATTTAAAACATTCTCATGAATAAATCCTCCAAAACAAACGTGGTTATCGAGATATTCTCGGACATCCTTATATATTTTCCTACGAAACAAACGTGGTCCTCTAAAGATGCCGAACATCTAAAATTCTAGGCATCTGAAGATGCCGGACATCTACATTCCCAAAAAACAAACGGCCCCTATAGGTCATGTGATAAGTCTTGAAAGTAAAAATTACAAAAGTTCAAACTCATGACCTTATAAATATCAAAAGGACCACATAACCACCTCACCAAACAAGCTATTTAGAAAAAAAATGTCTTTTGAACATATAATTTCACGGTGGCATCACGCCAGCCATTTAGCGACATGGAATTAATAATAGCCATTACCACAAAACAAATGGACACCAATAACCTACAAAAGTTTTTGGAATGCTCGACCCGCCCCTTTTAATTGTGCCCAAATGACTCACTTTAATATTTAATTGAAAGGAAATTACACTGTTACCCCTCTATTCAAAAATCAAAACCGTTCATCCCTTTGTCTTCTCCTTCAAATTTCTTCTCCGTTTCCCTTCAAGATAAGTTCGATTTCTGTTAATTTTTGTTATTTTCCATTAATTTGAATGTTAGGGTTTTGATTTTCATTTCTGTTGAGTAGTTGAATATTATGTTTTTTCGTCGATTCCATTTTCTGGTGTTTTTTGATGAACGAAAACATGAATAACATTGCATCGATTTAGGTTTCGTTTCTCGTGTATTTCATTTTTCAAAAAATAGGAGGACTGTTTACTCTTTGTTTCATTCATTGTTTTTGGTTCTTTAGTATATTTTCTATCAAATTGAGTTATGTGGTCTCTGTGTGTGAGGTTTGTTTGAGAAATATTTGTCGTGGAGGTTGAAGAAGAAGGGTGAACTCGGGCGAAGTGGGATGGATCTCGTGTGAGGTTGAAGAAATTCCAAACCTGGCTCGAGGTTTCTAAGCCTCTGTCCAATTTCTCGGGAACGACCTCGGGCGAGGTTGGCCCGAGGGAATTCAAATACACACAACCTCGCACGACATTTGTGCTCTCTGTTATTTTTCTCGGGTTTAACCTCGGGCGAGGTCGAGCCCGAGGTATTCGGAAGAGGCTGAACCTCGAGGTTGAGCCTCGAGGTTCGGCCTCTTCAAATACCTCGAGCTCAATCTTGCGGTTAACCTCGAGGTTGAACATATTTCGAATACCTCGGGCTCAAACTCAACCAAGATTGTCCTGGGAAATTTTCCAAAGCGTCCAAAACCTTCCTAAATCCTAAACCACGCTCGAGGTTACTCCCACTTCGCCCGAGTTCAGTCTTCTTCAACCTCCCATCACCTCAACCTCCGACATTTCAACAAACATTACACCACCACCACAACACATAAGAACCATAGAGAGCAAAAAATCAAGAACAAATAAACAAAGTAGATTTCCTTTCCCAAAAATGAAATCCAAGTCGATGGAAAACTAAATTGATGGTTTATCATTCACGTATTTCTTCATCTAAGCATCGAAAAACAGAATCGACGGAAAAAAAAGACCATTAACTCCTCAAACGCAATAAAAAACCAAGTCCTAATCTTCAAAATCGATCGCTCACTATATACGTTAACAGAAATCGAGCTTACCTCGAAGTTTTAATCTTAAGATTAACTTTCTTGCAAGAGGAATTAGCGATGGGAGAACGAAGAAGAAATCTCGAACAGAGAAGAAATCTCGAAGAGTTTCTTTTTTGAATCGAGGGGTACTGTTGTAGTTTCTTTTCAATTTAAATTCAGTTAAATATTAAAGTGGGTCATTTGGGTACAATTAAAGATGGTGGGTCAACATTTCAAAAACTTTTAAGGGTTATTTGTGTCAATTTCTCATTGGTTAGCTCTCATTTTATTCATACCTAAGCCATTTACAAAACTCCTCCCCTATTCCTCCCTCTCTCTTTGTCCCTCTTTGTCACGTCATGTATTATTTAGTAATCTCGACTAAATGAGTTATTTCTTTTGTGAAACTAGTGTCAAACAATGACGAGAGAAAAATGACTTTTACAAGCATTAAATTAATTACGTTTTAAATTAATTTATGAAATTAATTGCATTTTATTATTGATATTATTTTAATTAATTAATTTTAATGTTACATATTAATTTCATGAATTAATTTCTTAAAGTCTTTCTTCTTTTCTTTCATATACCTTGGGTGACTTCTAAAAGAGTGATAGAAGTGTATTGATTAGATTGGTATTTCCACAATTTTTCTACAAGAATTTATGAGCATGTTCTTTGATTCCATTTTACTCCGACGAGTTCACGCTTGAGTTAGATTAGTGTTATCCTTGAAAAACAAAGCATGCATACGATATAACACTAAGATCGTGTTGAAATTGCTTTCAAGACAGCAACTTCGTTCACAGCACAACTATCTTTTCATCTAAAATTCTCCTTCTATTCCAACATCTAGGAGGAGGGAGATTCAATTCCATTTAGTTTCCACTAATGAGTCAACCTCGATTGAATCCAAAAACATATACAGAATCGAACCAACCAATATTCAATTAGTTCAACCAAAAAAGCCGAACCAAACCAATCCGAAACTTCTCATGCTCCTCATTTTTTCCATAATAAAATTATAAAATAGAGTAAAAAGGTAATCAATTGCCAAAATTTATCCCTAATCCCTATCCCCCACTCAAACCTGAAAAGAACACTGCCCCCACACGCCCCGCCATCGCCTAAATAAAGCCATTTTGTGTTTTGTTTTGTTTTTCCAACGCACGATGGCTCATCGTCCTTCGAAACCGCTCCATTGCCATTTTGCTATTAAATCCCCAATCTCTCGTCTCCCATTTTCCCATTCGAAAACCAGAAACCAAATCCATTCCCCTCATCGGATCCTTCTTCCACCGCTCCGGTCGGATCTTCAGCGATGCGCCGCCGTTGATCTGATCTGGTTCGTCGATGATTCTCAGGACAAGGGCCATGGAGTTCCAGAGGATGCGCCAGTTGATGCTCATTTGGTGTGGAATCAGAAGCTCCCGAGTCGCCCTCGTGGGTGGAAATCACACCGCTGCTAGGTTTTGCTCTCGCTAGAGGTTTTCTCCTCATACTTCTTCCTTCTCCCGAAATCTCCCCCATTATATCGAAATCTCATCTTCTCAAGCTTTAGATTCTGGGTTTTTTTCCACCAATTCTTCGAATCCGAATCCAAATCCATATCGAATTCACCATGGATTTTGCCCGTTTTAATCGAGCCAAGAACCAACTCAAGATCAAAGGATTCAGAAATGGCGCCGGTGGCGCCTGGAATTCTGACACGCATCTGGTTATCAAGTTTCCTGATCCACGGATCCTTCACGTAATCTCTCGTTCGTTGTTTTTGGCTTTGGTTATTCTCACTCTGCCTTGTATTGTTTCCATTCTCGGGCGAGAAAGTAGCTCTGAGTTTTTATCTGTATCTGATTTGGTCGATTCTGGGCAATTGGATCTGCTTTTTCGTGATTTCGGTTACGAAGGCATCACCATTAATGGCCGTAAGGCTGTCATTTTGAGCTCTGGAACCGACGGCCTGACTCAGGTTCGTGTGATGGACAATGACGAACGCAAACTTGACATTGTTCTGGACTCTGATTTTGATCAGAGTGGGTTGTTTTCTGATGATTCTTTTGATTTTGTGTTTGCTTGGGGCAATGTGGACTCTGATTTCATGGATAGAATCCTCAAAACTGGTGGCATTTTGGCCTTCCCATTCACCAACAGTGGCCCATCAAACCATTTCCAAAAGAAACCAAATTACAGACCTGTGTTTCTCAGCAGATACAGCTCCATTATTGTGGCAATGGAGAAGACAGCCATGCCTGATCACATGGTTTATTCTTCAGCTTCAAGAAGACTCCTCACCCAATTCTCATCACACACCACTAAGGCTGCAATGAGAGGCCTTGAGGAGGATATTCTACATGAGCTACCAACCAAGGCCGTGGCAAAACCAAGCAACCTTATGAGGAAAATCAAGTACATCACCGACCTTGTCGACGGTTCTCTCAAACGCCTGAGGCAAACGGTCTCCAACTTCGTCACGGTTGGCCTGCCTGAAGAGAATGGGGACATGATCCAATACTTTGATCAGAACTACCCAAGAAAGGGGCAAGCCGAGGAGTCAAAGTCATCAATCACGGTGAGAAATGCAGCTGTGGATTGGCTGAAGGCGGGATTTGTTGAGAAACTGATGGAAATGAGGGCAATGTAAGTGGTGGATGAATTGTTCTTGTGGATGGAAGAAGAAATGGTGGGAAGATGGAGGTGAAAAGAAGAGAGAAGCAAGAGAGGGGTTTATTGGGAATGCTTGTCTTTTCTTTTGTATGGAAGTTTGGAAGATGAGGGAGTTGCAGTGCATCAATGGTGGGGTTGAGGGAGAAACTGTTCTGTTCCTTCTCTGTTTGATGTGTAATATCAAATATGTTGTAGCAAAGCTCAAGGGTTTAGCCTTGGCTTGGATTTGTGTTTGGTTTGTGGTCTTTTCTCATTCTCTTTGATATAATGTATTTTCATGATTTTGAATACCCCAGGAATAAAAATGTATATCACACCTTTGTTTTTCGAAAACAATAATCTTTTACCTGGTTAGTATTACTGGAGATCCCGTTATTAACGTTCTTATTTATTGATTTCAATTTTATTAAGAAATTTCAGACAACTATTTATGTTTCTTGTTTCTCATTGCTCGGAAACATTCTCAAAAACAAGTTTATTGTCTTTTTCTCGTTTCTAGTTTTGGATTAACAGAAAGAAAATGTAAGGACAAAAAAATCTAGGGGTTTGGGCAAAAGTAATCCTTTTGGAAGAGGGTCCACTTGTCCTCTTCATTTTTTCTTCAATTTATCACTTTTTCTCCCATTTCTCTCTCCTACTTTCTCTTCCCTTTCTCTCTCCTATTTCCTCTCTCATCTCGTTATAAATTCTCTCTTTTTTTAAAAATTTAACACCCACTTTTTCTCTCTTCTTTACTCACCATAAAAAAACCATAAATATTTATTTCTATCTCTCTTTATCCCTCTTAAGCACTTGGTGCTCCATTTATGATTTTTTTTTTTCCGATGAGAGATAGATGCTAAGAGTGAGAGCTTTTTTTTGTGGGCTCTGTTTTTTTTTATTTGGGGGTTTATGTGAACTCCTTGTTATCTCTCTTTGAGGTGTGACCCCATTCAAAAAATAAGGATGGTAAATACGTAATTTTATACAAAATTGATGTCTGAAGGTGGATACATATATCAAAGTGGGTTCTTTAAAATGGTCATGGCTAAATCGTGAGCAGTGAGTCAGCTTTGTCTTTGTAGGATCATAAATTTCTTCGTTGATGACCTCCATACAATCGGGTTGATGATCTCCATACAATCGGATTCCATGATGGCTTGAACTCGAGGGTAGGTATTCATGATTTGCTTCAATGCTCTAAGACCTTCCAGAACTGTCAAACTTTCTAGGGCTTTAATGGGCCATTTTCTTCTCAGGTGTTGACAGTCGGCTAACGAGATGCCCATCCCAATCACGAACCAGCCAGCCAATTCCTCCTGCATTCGATCCATCCAAGTCAAACGAGTAGGCGGTCTCCATCGGATAGGTGCAGTCGGACTCGCCCCAATCTTGCTATTTATTAGATCCACAATTGGTTGAAAACATGGAGTTTTGTTGATATTGTGAAAAATCTAGTTTTCAATTCTAATTTCTTCCAACATAAATAAAGATCTTCTATTGTTCTTGAATCAATGCGTATTAGGATCATGCAATTCTGAGAAACGCGAACGTTTGTAAGCAGTGTCTTAGATTTTTGGTTTTCTATTTTTGTTTACTCACAATTTATTTGATATGCTTTACTTTCCCTTAAAAACACATTTGAACTTTTGGCAAAATTTTAAAAAATAATAATAATAAAAAAATTTGAAAGCTATTTTTTTTGCTTTTAACGGGGACATCCTCGACAACCGGTCATTATTCGCCATCACAGAAACCAGCAAGGAAGAAGGATCCTCCTCGAAAATCGTCTCCACAACAGTAAGAGAGGTCCCTATTATATCCCGATCCATGCTATTTACTTCTTGAAAAAAATTGTGGAAGAGCCGGAACAAAGCAGAAAGGCACACCCTTCACCATTTGTATTTAATTATGTTTGGGAAAATGAATATATGTAGAGGATTTTTTTTCTTTTCCGAAAGACGAATATATGTAGAGGATTAATAAACTTAGTCAAGTGTATTTATAGTAAATAAGTGATAAACTTAGCAAGAGTATGATTGTAATTAAATAATTATGGTAATTACAATGGTGTAATTAGTTCGGAGTAATTTTAGTATATTATAATTTGGAAAATACTTGCCTCCTCATTGAGGAGGAACTTTGTCATTTTCACCACTAAATGTTTGATAACTAAGGGAGAGAAATGCAAAAATATAAACTTTTTAAAAATAATAATTAGTTGTCAAATATTTAATTCCTACGTTTTAATATGTCAAGCTACTATAATCTTAAAATTGATTGATGACGAGATCACATGACACGATACTTAATTCAGTTATAAAAACATAAGAAAAGAAACTAAGCTAATTTAAAGAGAGTAACGTTTCAAATTCCTCCTAATTTTGAAGAAGTTAGCAAAAATTATGACTTTCCTTCCAGCTTAATTACTAATATAATTAAATTTCTACCTAACTAGTTAATATAAACTTATCATCGACCAATTTCAACATTAATAAGTGGAAAAATATAATTTGAAAATGTAAACATAAGAGACTAAAATATAACTTGAAATTTTTTAAACAATAAGAACATTCAGGGCTAACACCGCATATATTTAGCCTTTTTCTTTAAACATCTTCCTTTGACGGTAAGTCACCCAAGTTTTTAAATGTCAAGATTTCAATTTTATGGCATTGTTGGTAGAAATATCAATAAAATGTTGATATCGATTGATATTTCTTAAAAAATACTAATTTGTTAATTTAAATACTTCTATATGAGTTTTTTGTCGTTTCGATGTTTCGATGGATCCTTCTTAAAAAATACTAATTTGTTAATTTAAATACTTCTATATGATTTTTTTTTTGAAAAAAATCATATAGAAGTATTTAAATTAACAAATTAGCATTTCAACACGTGGAAGTGGAATTCAGACTCACAACTTTTTGGCCAGACAAAACTATGCTCAAGTTTGCGTATTTCATCCATTTTTTAGTTAAAAATTATTCAATATTAATGTTATATCAATATTAGTGATATTTTGTTGATACTTTTGTATCTTTTGTTAGTTGTTTACGATATTATTGTCATTCACCACTCATGTCAATATCGAATTCATAGACATATGAAAATGTCGAAACATGGATGAAAATTTTAATACCCAATCATAATTAACAACAAAAGGATATCAAATTTAAAGACAATACTTTTCAAAGATAAACTTCTTATTCAATTCCCATTCCCACCCATATACAAGTGAAGAGTGAGAGATACACATATCTAATATTATATGTTCCTAGAGGTTATAAAGACCTTCCTCTCGAGCTTCATTTAAACAACCTCATTATTCACTCACAACACAACTCCACAATCGCCCACATAGAGGAAAAATTATAAGTTTGTCTAGGGAGGAGAAGGGGAAGGATTGGTGGGAGGGGAGAAGATGGGAAAGTTGGGGAAAGAAGAGGGAACATTGGGGCCAAAAGAAGTGAAGAAAGGTGGAGGTAATTTGAATTCGGGGTAAAATGGAGGAACATTGCTCAGGTCGGGAAACTCGGGAAAGTCTGAAGCCAAAAGCTTACGACCTCCGAAAGAAGAAGAAGAAGCCAAGCTTGAGACCACGAATGCAGCGATAAAGGCAGCCACAACCCCGAATCGAGCCGAAAACGCCATTGTTGAAGATTGGAATGTGGAGGGAATGAGACGATGGATTTAGGAT